CACACGCAAAGCCTGGGAATCATGGCAGCCAATGTCCTGCCTCTATAAAAGGTTTTTAACAGACACTCAAGAGATCCCAAGTAGAGGTTTTGCCTCTTCCCCCACCCCACTTCACAGTCCATACCATTCTGACCATGGGGTAAAACTCCTTCCTGACTCCAGAGAAGGCATCAGTCCAACCCTGAGCAGAGATTTAAGACCCTCTAGCCAGGAACCTCTGGGGGAGGCTTAAAAACAACATCTGTGGAAGTGGGTGGAGAGTTGGAAGGGGAAGGAGGGCAACCAGCAAAGCCCCGAAGCATGGGAAATACTCATAGTAGAACATAGGTATGGCATCCCCAAGCAGTGGCTCTCCAACCTCCACTTGAACACCTCCAGTGACGGAGGGCCTGCAGCTCCCTTAGGCCGTCTGTGCCACTGCCTCACTGTTCTAACACTGAAGAGGTTTTTTCCTGATCTCCAATCTAAACCTGCTTTGCAGCTTCCGTGGCAACTTCAAGCCAATGGTCCATTTCCTGCTCTCTATAGCAAGAGAGAGAAAAGTTGTTCTCCCTCTTCTTTATGGCAGCCCTTTAAGTATTTGCAGACTACTGTCAAGGTCCTCTCTTAAACCTTTTCTGCAACCTGAGCATGCCCAGCTCCGTCAGCCTCTCTTCGTGTGACTTGCCTTCCAAGCCCTTCATCATCTTTGTTACCTGCCTCTGGACCCTCTAACTTCTCCATGTCCTTTTTAAAAAGTGGAGGTGAAAACTGGACACACTACTGCAGATGAGTCCTAACTGTTGTGGAATAAAGAGGCACTATCACCTCCCATCTTGCACCTAATGCTTCTGTTGATGCATACAAAACTGCATGAGCCTTTAGTGTGACTATATGCAATTCTTCTTAGTAAGTCCATGTTGACTTCTTATCAGCCTTTCTTCCTCCACATGCTTGCAAATGTCCTTCCTCAGGATATGCTCCAGTAACCTCACCCCAAATATTGAAGTGAGGGTACCTGTTTTGTCATTTCTCAGATCCTCTTTTTTGCATTTTTTAAAGAGAAGGCACTGCACTGACCCTTTTCCAATCCTCTGGTACTTGACCCATCTCCCATGACTGATTGCCAAGGGTTCAGAGATCTCCTTTACTAGTTTCTTTGGGACCCTGGGATGAAGCTCACCCTGCCCTGGTGACTTGAATTCATTCAGACTCATCAACAGCTCTCTTGACTGCCTCTGACATCGTCTCATCCCTCAGCTTGTTCCCTTCCTTAGCCAAATAATCCTTATTAGGTGTCTGGCTGCAGCTTAATTTTTTTGAGAAGACTGAAGCAAAGTGGCTGTTGAGTAACTCTGCCTTGTTCGCACCTTCTGTTAAGAGCTCTCCCTGCCTAGTTAACGGAGGACCCCCAGCTTCTGTGCTCCTTTTCTGGCCGGCATACTTGGAAACCCTCTTGTCTTCAACCTCCTTTGCCAGGTGCAGCACACTGTCTTTGCCTTCCTGATTTTGTCCCTGCAGGTTCTTGCTGTTTCCTGGTACGTGTCCTTGGTGACCTGTCCATCTTTCCATTGCCTCTGTGCTTTCCTTTTGCATTTGAGGCACCTTGTGCTGCCACATTGGTCTCTTGCCATTCTTCGTGTGCTTCCATAGTGTCAGAACAGTTTCTTGTTGGGCTTCCAATACTGTGCCCGTTAAGGTCCCAGGCCTCCTGGGCACCTTTATTCTTCAGTCAGTGTTCCCATGGCACCATGCCTGTTAGCTCCTGGAGTCGGGTGAAATCTACCTGTTTGAAATCTGGCGCCCTAGTTTTGCAGATCTCATGCTTTCCCCGTCACAGAATCTGGAATCCTAGTGTACCGTGACCGCTTCCTCCCAAGTCGCCCATCACCTTCACATCCTCCACCACTTCTTCCCTGTTGGTCAGGACAAGATCCCAGATAGATGATCCCCTGGTTGTATCCTCAACCTTCAGGAACAGAAGGTGGTGCTTCACGCAAGTTGGGAACCGGCTCAAGATTTTGTCTGCCTACACTGTTTTTCCAGTAGTTGTCCAGAAAACTGAAGTCTCCCATGAGTATCACCTCCTAGCTTTTGGACAGATTTGGCACTTCCTTGAAGAATGCCTCATCCACCTCCTCTTCTTGATTTGTTGGCCTGTAATAAATCTCCACCCAGGTTGGTTCTGCATCTTTCACCTTCACCCAGATGCATTCTGTTCTGCTATCTTCTTCCTCCTGAACCAGGGAACAAGTGTATGCTCACCTGACAGACGGGGTGACACCCCCATCTTTTCTCCCAACCCTGTTCTTCCAAAACAGAGTGAAACCTTCAGTGTTGACGTTCTAGTTATACGAGCCACCCCACCACATCGCTGTGATACCAGTCGGGTTGTAGTTCTTTACACAAGGTGCAGCTTCTAGATGTTAAACTGCATTAGACCTGCACTTGCAGTTCACAGATTCACAGTAGTTTAGGGCTGGAAGGGACCTCGTGAGTCATAGGGTCCAGTCCTTCTGCTCTGGTTTCAATCCATCTTTAAATTGTATTTTTTTGATAGATTTCTATTTACTGGAATAAAATTGTCCTGCCCAAAGTGTTATTATCATTGCATTATGTCCAGTGCCTTGTTTTAGAAAACTGCAGTGGTGTGGATTAGACCCTGGCTTTGATCTTCCATTATTTTCAGCATTGTCCCTTAGCACTTTGCCATTCTTTTCTGCATTAAACAGAAGAATAATATTAGGAACTTAGACATCATTACTGTTGCTATGATGACATGTGTCCCATTCTGTCTTTTGCTTCTTAACAGCTTGTGTTTCTCAAAGGTACAACTTATGAGTTCATACAATAAATACATTAAGACATCCTCTTCCTTCTTGGTGTCAAAACCCCATTGCTGATTTTAGAGCATATAAAATAACACCATCAGTAAGTACACAGATGTTTTCCTGTAATTACATTTACATGCCCTGTCCTTCTGTTATCCTGCCATATTTGATACTAGTATGATTGACGGGCTCTACTACAAAGAAGTTTTCCTTAAATAC